ATACATACACTAAAACTAAATAAAAAGTATGACTTACATAAAATTGATTTATGAAAGATAACGATAATGCAGAATTTTGTTGGAAATCAAATTCATGTAGTTCATCAATGATATAAGACGATCAATACTGAGCACCATTTTTAAGAAACTAAAAGGACATCTTGTATTATTTTGAATAAAATCAAATAAACAAATAATTTTTCCTTAACACCTTCTCCAAACTGTTATATGTGTGATCATATTTTGGGACAATTAAAACAAACGCGTAAATGAAACCCTCAGGTCAACATGCAGATATCAGCAATATATATATATGCATGAACCATAAGTAAAGCTACACATCGATTAAACGATCTGTGAATTAACTGAAAAAAAACACAAATCTTACATTAAATATTAAAAATACGTGCCACTTGCCTACATTAGTCTCGAATCGGAACAGTGTAAAGGACAAAGTTTACAACCATTGAAAAACATAACTTCTTCTCAATTTAAACAATTAAGAGATCTGTTTATTGTCCATGAGATACATAAATGGCCTTTATAGTTCAATTATTATGTTTAATGAAAGATTGTTACTTTGTTTGCCGTTTGTAATGTAAGATTGTGAATTCGTTTGTTGCTTTTATATGACAGAGTTACTGGTAATTGCAATTGTATAAAGCATGCCATATTTGAATTAATAATTGAAATAATGAGGATCAATTCTTTATATCAAGATATTTGAGGGGCTTTGGTTGCTAAGTAGTTAAAGTAGTTCAACTACATAATTACTAACCTGTCACCTGAGATTATACATTCGAAACCAGCACGTGGCAAGAGCGTTCGACTTCATTCCTAATTGACTATAATTGCCGGTTTGCCTGCCGAACGTCAATGTTTCTCTCCATAAACTCCGGGTTTCTTCACCCATAAGTGCCCGCAACTATATAGCTGCCAGTGCTGCACGTAGCGTTAAACATAAACACTTAATCAAGCAATCAACATTTGAAAACTTAAAAAAAGTATACTAATGTATTATTTGTAGACTGTTTTCCACTATACTCTGGAGATATAGCAAGAATCAAATGTCAGACATCCAGTGCAGTAAACATTGACAATATGAAGTATGATAACGAAATTTGTGAAGCTTCCATGTTGTCCAAAAACCAATATCTCTCAGAAAAGAAAATATGTGAAAATTCGTTTACATGTTCCATCGAAAAAACTAAAAATGAAAGCATTGATGTTCACTGTACAGGTTTGTGCGTACTTAAAATAGTCTTATTCTGATATATGCCAATTGTTTTGGTTAGTTTTAAACAATGGCATAACAAAAAATTGTTTTAAAGATAAATTTAAAAGACTGTTGATGTAAGTAAAATGTAAGGCTGGTTGCTAGCTGTGTTTCATTCAATTTAACTTGAACATAGGCTAACAATAGCGATGGTCGTTCAATTATGACAAGTTTGACATGTTTATAAGTTCAAAGCGATATATTACTGCACCAAGGATATAAATTTGACTAACATTGCTATTACAGGGACAATATAATGGCTCGTATCGTACCTCCCTTTAAATTTTCATTAAGTATTTCCTGCTGAGGGGTATGTGATATTTACCTAGCTGATGGAACACGATTTGTGCTAGATTACAATTACAATTGAAACTAAATCATGTCTGTTTAATTTAACACATGCGGCGGAGTACAACTAAGCTGTTGTGAACTACCGTAATATCATCTGTCAAACATAAGAGTATCAAAATTGAAGCAAAATCATAAAAAGTTCGAATTTGTAAAATAGTAAGAGCAATTTCTGACCAGCATTTTAAATGTGTTATTTGCAGTGATAATACAGTAATGTAAAAATTGGATAACATCAACATTTCAAATAAAGGATAAAGATTTGTGCAAGCAGAAATTAAAAAATAAACATGTATATGGGTATTTCAGAATTATAGAAAACTTAAGACTGAGTAACATAAACCTTACCAAAAACCGGGGTTCTACAAGGTGCTTCTGAGAAAAAAACAAACCCTGCTCCACATGTCTCAGCCGTAGTGTTGTTAATTTAGGTACAAATTCAGTGATAAATCTAATTCGGTGATGTCACATTAGACGAAAAGATGATGGGGTTTTGGTTATGACAGTTGAAATATATCCGTCGTCATCTATAAAACAGATATTTTATATTGTTCAACCAACTCGTGATGGCGTCCATGGAATTTTTGAAGGAAGGACTTCAACTTCACCACTTGGAATTCTTTAATAGCTTCTTTGTAAGCAGCAAGTCCTTATCAAGGAAATCATGATAGCAAGTATTGTGTCAACTAGGAGAAATATTATTTATATATCTACTCCATATGCAAGCGATGCTGAAATGTTGCGACATAGAGATAGAACGTTCACAGTTGGGACGCTCATTTAATCTTTTGCGTTGTAAAGTTTTATTCTTAACCTAATATCATTGTCAATTTTGAGATATGAATCAAAATATGAGAAAGACTTAATTTTATCTGTTGTATCCTTCATTTCAAAATCAAGGGGATGTTCAACACTTTGCATAGTCTGAAGACCAGACATTATCTTTATAGCGGAACGTGACTTTTAAGAATGATGCTAATTTCTTTTCGTTCTCCCTTAGAAGCTCCTGAATGATAGTTGTCTCGTATAAAAAAAGGGAACAAGTTGGCAAGAAGAGGAGCACAGTTGGTTCTAATACTGATTGTATGTTTCCTTTTGGTGTTTTGAAGAATTATATATGGTCCCTAAGAGGTCTTTTGTGGTTGTGTCATTGACTTGCTACTGTATTGATGTATACGTCACATTTCTTTTTATTATTGAAAGGTGGGGTTTCCACAGGACTAATGGTGTCGGCATTAAAAAAATCAACACAAAATGCTCGCAGCAGGTCTGGTGATACCCTATGGTAAGGCTGCTCCAATAGCACACGTCATATCAATCCTCAACCAAAAAAATCTTCGAAATTCAATTGGTATTTCGGATTGAAATGGGTGTGATATTGAAGAAACCACATGGTAATCTCCTTTTAAACAATTGAAAGGTGGCAACCTTTTATGTATCATTAATATATTTTTTTTTCTGTAACATGTTTTTAAATAAAAGGAACGCATGGTAGTTTATCAAATAAAATATCTTTTTATCAATTGTTTTGCATCGAAAAATTGATTTAAAAGTATCAAATGATTTGTTACGATTCAGGAAGAAGATAAAGTTCATATGCTCTTTATGTTTTGAAAATATTTATTATATAATTTAGCAATCTAGGTGAGGACGGAAACTACGAAATACCTAACTAGTAGTGTAATTTATTTGTTCATCAGAGATATTTTATTATGTCATATAGTTCTGTGATCCTTTTTTTAACTGTTTGTATTTATTAGTTTTTTCTATGTTTTGAAAATCATTTATTTTAGTTGGCAATATCATACCAGGTGATGACACAACTATGGAATCTCATGGTAGGTTAATTTATAAATAACATATTGAATCACATACCATAGTAAATGACTTTGAGTCTGACATGGTCATTTTGATCTTAACATCATCTGAAAAGTCTGAACAGTCAAATAATCGGTCTCTCAGTCAATTTCCGACTGATCTTATGTAGTAACTTCAGTACCATTCAGACAATTCGCTTTCAGTCGTTTCATTACTGTTCAGTAGCTTTTCAAACAATTACGAATGATGTTGATGGGCACAGGTAAAAACAACAACTACTGAAAGGTCTGAACATATGTTTTTATGTTTAAACGGTTGCTTGTCATGTCGTTCCACAACTGTTTTGTATTTTTTTTTTTATTTACTTTATATTCATATGCATTTCGATGTTGTTTTTATAGTTGATCTAAACAATGTGTTTGTTGTCGGAGAAATAGTAGTATACTTACTCATCATATGTATTATTGTTGGAATATTTTGGTACGACAGTTAGAGTGTGTCAAATATTTTTTTGCTGCATGTCCAATTGCAAATATATGTTACATTTTTAGGATGAGAAGAAATGAAAATCATATTGATGATAGCAGACACATTTCAACGTCTTTTTACGTAGTATACAATGTTTGCAACAATAAATCTTACATCTTTTTTGTGTTTTGAAAATCGTTTATGTAAGATGGCTGTAATATTCCACGTGATGAAACAAGTATGGAATCTTATGTTGGGTAAATGCATTCATTAAATGTCTGTCCAACAGACTCCTCGTGTTTTTTTTTCCTTGCTTGATTTGGTTTTTGGTTAATTTTTTACAGTATTAGCTTTTTTTGTGTTATCATTCGTCTATTAAAACATAATCAAAATAGTGTACTTAACCGAAACCTCATCAATGTTTTAATAGTGCCTTAAAAGCTTTTTTTGTAATCTGAAAATATTTCTGTAAGTTGCAGACCTTTGATTAGTCAAAGTTTAATTGATGATACAAGTCTTTAAGATTTAGGGCTATTCAAAGGTTGACGTATTGTATTATTCTTGAAAATGTATACCAGATCATGATATACGTTTGGTTTAGCATGGTAAAATAGTGCTATTTTATGTTTGAAAGGTGTCTATTAACCAGGACCGTATGATGACTTTTATACTTTTTGTCCCATATTTTTCGGAGGTTCATTGACTTGCTGTCTTTTTGACAGATATCTTAAATTCCCTTCGAAAAATGATTTATCAAATCAAAATGAAAGCATAAATCATGTGTGAAAAAGAAGATCTTACCTTCTCGTTAAAAAAGAAAGACCTTTAAAGTATCAGATCATTAAGATGGGACGTTTAAGCTCCGAAATTCTAAAATTCAAAGCCTAGAGTGTTTTTTTTCTTTAAATTCACTTTTAGTTTTTAAAATCTATCAAGCCTGTTTTGTGCGACTTATTTTTCTGTGACCAATTCATCTGAAAATGTCCTGAAATCCAGAGGTCAAACAGTCAAACTTGTATAACAGAGGAAAGAACAATAAAAAATTATCATGTTACCAGTTTCGACTTATATGTAATCGTTTCTATTTAAGTTCGCATACCAGTTGATGACAGAAGTACGAAATCTCATGGTAAGCTTATTTATTACTAAATTGTTTGTTCAAATAAATTCAAAAAATTTCTTTTTCTTTTTGCTTTGTTAATTTTTGTTAAAAAATGTATACATTTATCATTTTATTGTATTTCATTGACGATTGTAATCATTATTCTTTAAAGAAAGACGCAAACCATTATCCACCGTTATAATGTTTAGCATATTTTTTTTCTGAAAGTAAAATGACTTTTTGTCCAAATTGTTTTTCAAAAATTCCATTAAATTTTGACAACGTCATATTGATGTCTGAATATGACAGAAGATAGATTCTTCAGTTGTACAATTCATACGCAATCCAATCAATGTCAAGAGTTCATGCATATGGAAAAAAAATTTACTTAATGAGTCCAATCATACTAATACTATTCCAAAGTGTTATATTAATATAATACAACGAGGGGATGCGAAAGATTCCCATCAGTCGAAAATAAACCGACAACGCCACGGCTAAAAAAGAAAAGAAAAGAACTGACAATCAACAGTACACAAAACACAACATATGATTTGATATTTTGGAATAAACAGAATCAGTATTATGCAGCAGGACAATAAACATTATCAAACAGTGAACATTTCACATCTGTTTTATGTTTTGCTATTTTAGTTGGCAAACCAGTTGATGACAGTAGTACGGAATCTCATGGTAAGTTAATGTATTAATTAAATGTTATTCCAACTAACACCAGCAATTTTCTTTAAGTTGTGATTTTTTAATTGATTGTTTATTTCTTTAATGTTTTTGTAATAGTTATTTGTTTGTTACGTTTTGCACTGGCACTGAAATAATACAACTGTTTTTTATATTTTGAATATAATTTATTTCAGGTGGCTATAGTATAACAGATGATGACGCAAGTAAGAAAACCATTGGTATGATTGATGATGTACGATTGCCAATGAGACAACTCTCCTCAAGAGAACAAATGACATAGAAGTTTACAACTATAGGTCACCGTAAAAGTCTTTAACACTGAGCAAAACCTATACCACATAGTCAGCTATAAACGGCCCTGATATGACAAATGTAAAACAATTAATACGATAAACTAGCAACTTGATTTATGTACAAAACAATGAACGAAAAACATATATGATATACAGCAACAAAGGACATTCACTGAGATACAGGCTTCTGACTTGGGACATGCACATACAGAATATGGATGAGTTAAACTAGTTACTAGTAGTTGGCACCAAACTCTCCCCCTAACCTAAGATAGTGGTGTAACAATACAACATAAGAACAAACTATAAAAATCAGTTGAAAAAGGCTTAACTCATCAGATCGATATAATGTAGAAAAACATCTCTAACAAAACATAGACCGGACGTGGAAGGGTATTCATACATCCCCAATACTAAAAAGACACTAAGTACAGATCTGAGAGTGCTCGCAGTTACTGAGAGCTAGATCAAAGCCAATAAAAACTATTAAAAAATCATACATCTCAGACTAAAATACCAATCAGTACACACATAACATCCAATGGATTTAGTCTAAAGACGTCATTAACAGTCAGAGAAAAATATGACCCTGTGTAATGCATGCTAACCAAGACTTCATTAGTATAAAAACAGATTTAATGACGTCCCTAGAATGAGTTCAATTACAGACGTATCACTTTGTTTATGGGGATTAAATTTCCTATCTGAAAATAAAGTCTTGCGTATTTTATTATTTTTTCGCAATTTCAAGAATCAAATGATGTCCATCATACTGCTCGTGTGCATTTGATAAATTATAAAGAGAGGGTTCTCCGATTTATACGTATTTCTGGTATAACAAACATGCCTTAAATTATCAGTTAAAAAATTTAGAAATAAGTAAGAACCTAAGGTTGCAACTCCTTCAGGCAAAGTTGACGTTAGTTGAATTTGGCGATTTTTTTGATTTTTTCATAAAGCTCCTCCCGGGTTTCGGTACTAGTTCAATTTTTGCTTTGGGTGTTCCTAATGAATGCAAACCATGAAAAGCCCATGAAATGACAGAATTCGTATTATGCAGCAGGACAATAAACATTATCTTACAGTGAACATTTCACATCTGTTTTATGTTTTGCTATTTTCAGTCGGCAAACCAGTTGATGACAGAAGTACGGAATCTTATGGTAAACTAATTTATCAATTAAATACTTGTCAAACTAACTCCAGCAATTTCCTTTAGGTTCTGATTTTTTAATTGATTAGATATAAGAAGATGTTGTATGAGTGCAAATGAGACAACTCTCCATCCAAGTCAAAATTTATAAAAGTAAACCATTATAGGTCAAAGTACGGTCTTCAACACGGAGCCATTTCTCACACCGAACAGCAAGCTATACAAGGCCCCAAAAATTAGTAGTGTAAAACCATTCAAACGGGAAAACCAATTGTCTAATCTATATAAAAAACGAGAAACGAAAAACACTTTTGAACCACGTCAACAAACGACAACTACTGAACATCAGATTCCTGACTTAGGACAGGTGCAAGCAATTGCAGCGGGTTTAAACGTTTTAATTGTACCAAACCTTCACCCTTATTTGAAACAATAGTGTATCATCACAACATAGAAAGATACGCTATAAAATATCAATTGAAATGGCTTAACTCAATAGTTTATTTGTAAAATGTTTTTGTGATAGTTATTTGTTTGTTAAGTTTTGCACTTGCACTGAAATAATACAACTTTTTATATTTTGAATATTATTTATTTCAGGTGGCTATAGTATACCAGATGATGACGCAAGTAAGAAATCCCTTGGTAGGTAAATTTAGAAGTCATGTCTGCCTTTCCTTCGAAAAGTCATTAGAAATTGTTCTGAAGATGAGTTCTTTCAAACTCCCCAGTGCAATCTCCTTTTGATTTTTCTCTAATTAAGGTCTTTCCTTTTCCAAAAGGGAAGACTCTCAATTGTTTACGAACAGCAATTGACATTTCGATTGCTAAGGTCTTTCCTTTTTCAAAAGGGAAAGACCTCATTGTATTTGTTCTCATTATTAAGGTCTATCCTTTTCAAAAATGAGATTTGACCTTTCCGTAAGGGGCATAACTCCCCGTTAACGGTGTGCAAAAAGACAAAATTAGCTTTAACTTTTAAACCAAAGGTCCTAGACCCGTGAGGTCTTATGAATTGATATCGGAAACCAATGACCTTGCCAAAATTTTCAAAATCAAAAGTCAACGTCATGTCCCAGTTAGCGAATTATGTGTTTTTAATCTTATTCACATGGTTTAAGAGTGTTTTAAAGCTTATTTTTATGTTGACCTTCACCTTTGACCTTACACCTTGTCTCATATAACCATTATACTTGAAGAAATCGTGAATAATAAAAAATGTTTGGGTCATTAAGGCGCTTCTGTTTGACCGAACTGATTTGACATTACTGTAAAGGGCATAGCACCCGACAACTATTTCTGAAATTTATATTTAACTCTTAAACAAAAGGTATCTGTTGCAATGATATCAGAGACCAACGACCTTGACAAAGGTTATAAAATCAAAGATTAAGGTCATGTCCCGGTTATCGAATTATGTTTTATTGATCCTATTTTAGGTGTTTAATGTATGTTTTAAAGTTTTCCGATGCATTCTACATCTGTTTAAATAAATATTCTACATTCTGAAAAGGAAAAAACCTCTCAATTGTTCACGAAAAATTGACATTTTAAGCATCACTACTTTTTTCACTTGTGTGAAATATGTGCTTTGCAACATATTAAAAAAATTATTTGATACATGATATCATAAAATTAATTCGTTTTTATTAGGGTATTGGCATCGTTTAAAACAAATATGTACATTCTCCGTTGATAAATTTTAAAATGACGCTAAGTTGATATTAGATGAATTTGGCTATTTTTTCATATTCTATTTGGTCATATGGCTCTTCACGTGTTCCACCTTGACTTTATAATATTAAGCTTTGTGTGTTCCTGATGAAGTTAGGGGCCTCGGTGACCAAGTGGTCTTAGTAATCGAACTATTGTATCAATAGTCGGTCAACATTGCGGTTGTGTGTTTGAAAACCCGCACGTGGCAAATGCGGTCGATTCCAATCTTAATTGACTAGGATTGCCAGTTTTCAACTAAAGGTCGGTCGTTTTCTTCGGGCACTCCGGCTTCCTTAACCAATAAAAACTGACCACCACGAAATAGCACAATAGTATTAAAAGTTGTGTTATAAACCAATCAAGTCATCAATCTTGATGAAGTTTGATTCAGAATAGCGCATTCAATTTATAAAGTTTTATTTTTACTTTAAGACCCTTTTTGTCACATGACTGCAAACGATTTCAAGTTTTTATGATGCAGTTGTATGTTGACTAATTTAATGTAAAAGAACATTAAAACCATATGCATTTTTAATAAACATAACGTAATCTGTTAAATAAGTCCGAAAGGGATGTTGTCTTAACCGGAAGTATTAAAGTATCTACCTTATTAAAATAAAGAAACCATATATTATTTGTTATCAGTGTAAAGTGGCACGAGTTGAATATCCTTCGATATTTTAAATTCTAGGATTAGGTATTGTTTTTATTATATTAAAAATAGATTTATATCAATTCAAATAAAGTAGAAAATTGAAGAAACAATATGTTTTTCTATGCGTTATTAATTACTTTTGATGCAACGTCATCAACAATATCTTGACAACACCCATTGTTGCATGGCGTCGGAATGAAATTGTCGGATTTATTTCACTGGCAATACTTAAAATATTAGACTTCTACATATTATGCTCGACAGATAAACAATTTCACTGGCATCCTAAAAATATTGTTAGATATTTAGCGTTTACCGCACAGTAATTCTCAAAACTTGTGATTTTTAACTAAACAAATTTCTTTTTCATAATTAATTTCCGAATATTTACATATTGTTGACAGACAGCCGGACGGATGAACAGACGTACAAAGTGAAAACAATAGGACCATTGCATTCTTGATGCGAGTCTAACAATACTTAAAGCTAGAAAAGTCATTCTTGATGCGGGACGCTAACAATACTAACAGCTAGAAAATTCAAATTAGTTGATTAAAGATACTTAAGCTACGATTAAGACAAACCACTGAATTAGGATTTGTTTGTTTCATATTAACATTTATGATATTTCGTCGTCAGCGAGGTTCAAATTTGATGAAATAAGCTAAAAACATAGATAGCGAAAATCCTACACGGAAAAAATGTTCAAAATGATAAGATCTACCTAATATCTATCGACATCAAAACTATAAGATTACTTTATTGGCCTTAAACAGCGAATATTACCATTGTTTTTGAATTTTTGTCTATTTTTCGAAATTAAAATAGACAGACAGAAACTGTAAAGAGCAAAACGTATCAAGACAAGGTATGCAATAGAGTCAAATAACAGAAATTTTGTGTCGCCTCCCCATTGAAGTTATTGCCCTTTTATGCCGATTTTTCCCAAATTTTGCATTTTTGCCTATACTCTTGAAACTATAATAGATAGATAAAAATTAAAGGCAAAAATGATCAGCAAGAAAAATCTACAACTAAGTCATCACAGCCAAAATTTGCAGGCGACTCCTTATTGGAGTCATTACCCTTTAATCATAACTTTTACCAAAATTACTTTAAAAAAGGGGGGGGGGAATTATCAGCAGGATAAGATCCACAAATACGCAAACATGACTGTAATTCTTAATAGAGTTTTTACCTTTAAATAAAGATATGTACTAAACTGTGGCCATTGTTGAAGATAAAAGTGATCGACACAGGCTCTATAGAGCCTCAAGTTGAATTTCTCTTGGAATTTGGAATATTTGCTATACACATTACTTGCACAGAGATTTCATTCGTAAAACAGAAAAGGACATGGTCTTATATCAATTTACTTATAACAATATAAGTAGTCTTTATCCATGTTACTGAATGACATACATTCAATTTGTCCATATGGTACTCCATGGCAACCATGAAAGTCTTTCATGTGGTACTATATGACACACATATATCTCTTCCATATGGTACCAAATGACAAAACGATACATATAAGTTTTCCATTTGATAAAAAATGGTCGTGAGACAAAATGATTATACTACGATATAGTGTTTGTTTTGATACACGTACCACGTAGATGATACGAAATTATTAAGGTACTAAATTACTTTAAGTAACTCAAACCATTGGATACCTTATCATTTAATATTTGAGTTTTTTAATCAGTTGCGTGCATTATGTATGAAATTGCCCCTTTATTAAAAAAAGCATTACTGGTTCATTACAGACTAACAAGTTATTAATACTGGACCATTATGAAAAATCAGGGCTATTATGAATAAACAGGGTTTGTTTCTGTTAAATCGACTTATGACTATTGAACAGCGGTATACTACTGTTGCCTTTATTCATTATGCAAAAACAGTGTCATTGTGAAAAAACAGGGCCATTATGAAACAACAGGGACATTACGAATAATCAAAGCTATTACGGATTTTCAGTTGTAATCAATTTAAATACACTTCTTGGGAAGAGATACACTAAGAAATTGAAATTTTCCAAGAATCATGACTTATTTTATTTGACCCAGTTGTCAAGTTAATTATTACATAATACATTCCATGATGTGTTCAATTTATTTTATTTTGAGTTGTATAATCCAGAATGAAATCTTAGATTTTGTATGCCATAAATTGCGTTCAATAGGACAATAATTAAACTATATTGACATTTGCAGGTTTTTCCATCACATCACTTTAAAAGTTTCTTTTTAATATTGCATTTGGTATAATCAAATATAAACAATTTCTCCACACAAAAAAACTGTTTTGGCTTGGTTAAATAATAGACATTGACGGTTTGGTTAATAAAAGTGTTAAGAAATGGGTGTTTTCAAAATGACACTGGTATTTGTCCTGGGTCAGAATTAATGGTCTCATTACAGGCATCCTCGACCATATAACAGGTCCATTATGAAAACACTCATTAATTAATACTATAATATGTACATATATATTTTGATTTATTTTTACAGGTTTTTCAAACTATGCTGCTATTGTTGGAGGAATAGTAGGAGTGTTACTCGTCATATGTATTATTGTTGGAGTTTTTCTAATTAGGTATAACAGATAGTTCTTTTTTGTGTGGTATGAAATTTGAGATAGCTTATCAATGAATTTATAATAATAGTCATGAGACGGAGAACAAATTTAAGAACAACAATTTGAACAAGGCTGCATCGAATATTTGTTAACTTAACTTCCAACTCCAAATATGTGAATCATGCCCAGAAGAAATACGTAATATATAAGTTCGCGTGTTCAATTAAGGCACGGAGAAAGAATGGTAGTTTTTAACCACGACTTACAAAAAAAGTGTCTTGATATATCATTAAATCTTTTTAACAATGGTATTGATAAGAGCAGACTAATAAACGCTGTGTTTGATCTAGTTTGCCTGTTTGACAAAGATAGATAAAACAATAATACTACATAGCACGAAACAATTTACACTAACCGTAAAGGCAATTTGTTTTCTTTTTATATCTTGTTTATGTTATTTCAGTAATCGATATTCTTGTGGCTGTTAATAGAATAGTGAATGTATAAGAAATAACAATTCTTCGAACTGTTTGAAAATGAATCGCATGGAAATCTGAAGGAATTTAGGTTACCTTCATTTAGCCATTTTTATGGCATAAAGTAAAAAAACAATATTAGTGCATGTAACTGAATGAAAATTACAAAAAAATTATATATAATGTTTTACTGTAAACCTAAATAACATTCAGATAGAATAATACCTAATCTCCATTTGTAGGAAATGCACCGGCAGGGAATGCCGTAGTGCACAGAGAAAGAGCAAGGAAAGGGTAATGCCAACATTAAATCCAACATATGATCTTACTGGTAGGCCAAACAAAGAAGAAAATAACCACCAAGCTAACGTCGTGGATGCTCCTGGAGCACTACAATTTTCAACATCACATACAGTTTATTTTGACAACAGGACAGATTATAATGTATACGCAAAGGTAAATAAATTATGCCATACACAACAACCTGGAATCCACACCAAAAACGAAGCGCCAATAACGTACCAACATCCTCGGAACACAGTAGATGATTCAGACGACATGTATGATCATATAGTGCACAATGCTGTCCATGACATCTGCGATGGTGATTACGGCATTGCACGCAGAAGAATTACAGATGATGACTATGATGTATCTGGGAACTATTGTCAGTCACTTAACAACAATACAGACCCTGTGTACACCTAAGTAGTCCAATGAATGCTTTAGTGATTGATGACTAAATAACTTATTTTGATGAAGCATGCACTCTTTTGCTGGTTTATTTTGATTTAAAGATCGAGTATATAGATATTTAGAGTATATTAAAGCCAAAGGTGAAATTAAAGTAAATTGACGAATTTTAAAATTCATGAGTATGAAACCTTCTGTACCTGTACCAAGTTTGCCTGTCTAGACATTGTGTTGTTCTTTGTTGTTTGTCTATGTATGTATATATATTTTCCATGAAGGGTCGATTGAAAGTGATTGCTGAGGTTTATAGTACTGCTCAATACT